CAGGACTTCTGTGAGGATCAAATGAGATGAGGCATGGGAAAATGCTCCACAGACATTTGGTTAAAGTATAAAATGTTTCCACCTGGCTATAAAGGAAGTCATGTTCCTGGGCTAAAGAAACTGCAAGGAGGCTAGTCGCTAGGGAGAGGAAGCCAGGCATTGCTATGTGACATCATTACCTGGATAAACACTTAGCATATTAGCCTTTTATATATATACTAGAGGCCTGTTGCACAAAGATTCGCGCAATAGGCCTTCCTTCCCCTGGCTGCTGGCACCAGTTTTCCTCTGACACCCGGGATCTAGGCCTTTGGTCCGGCCGCATCGAGGCATGGCTTCTCCGCTGCGGCTGCAGCAAGGCTTGGCTACTGTACTGCGGCCATAGCGGAGAAGCCAAGCCTCTTCAGTCTTCGGTCTTCAGTCTTCAGTCTTCACTCCAGCCGGAGCCTTCAGTCTTTGCTCCGCGCCTGCATATGCAAATTAACTGCCATCCTTGTTGGGTTAATTTGCATAGTTTCTCTGATTGGCTAGTGGGCGTAGCAGTGTGATACCAACTTGCATGTTTCTCTTTTATTAGTGTAGATAGATGACAAGCTTACACATTCAGGCCATCAATAGTGCATTCTGTAGGGAGGTGGGCAGGGCACGGGCTTCATACAGATTCTCCAGCAGAAATGTAGGTTCTCAACACCCCCCCTCCCACACCAGTACCAGTTTCTCTGATTGGCTAGTGGGCGTAGCAGTGTGATACCAACTTGCATGTTTCTCTTTTATTAGTGTAGATAGATGACAAGCTTACACATTCAGGCCATCAATAGTGCATTCTGTAGGGAGGTGGGCAGGGCACGGGCTTCATACAGATTCTCCAGCAGAAATGTAGGTTCTCAACACCCCCCCTCCCACACCAGTACCCATATGCTCACACACACTCACACACACTCACACAAACACAACCATACACACTCACATTCACAATCACACATACTCATACACTCACGCATAATCACACACTCATACACAAACACATGGCCATGCACACTCACACATACACAAACACACTCACAGAAACACACACTTGTACACACACTCACACTCATATACAAATACATGCTCATGTACACTCATACACACATGCACACTCACGCACACATTCATCTACAAACACATGTTCACATACACTCACACACCCACTTACATGCAAACACACACTCATACACACACTCATGCACACTCGCACACTCATGCACACGCACCTTTAACAGTTCTCCCCATACCCTGGTCTCTTGGCCTTTGTCTCCCTCCCACCTTTGCTCATCAGAACATCACATCTGTGTCCCTCCCTCTGGGTCTGGGAACAGAGCACATCTGAGCAAGGAGTCTGTAGGCGCCCTGGCGGGTAATAGTGTCCTGTTTTGCTCTCTCTGGGAGGCACACATGGAAGCCAGGGTCTTTCATGTCAACCCCAAGGCAAGGACAATGTCAGAATTCAAGGAGTGACCCTGTGCAGGACACACGTGGGTGTCTGTCTCACGGCCGCCCTTAGACCCCGGTCCTGGTCCGCCCTCCCTCAGAACCACAGAAAATCACAGAGTGGACTGGCTTTGCCTGTAGACAAGGAGTTGGTAAGAAACATGGTAAAAGACACTCTGATGGGAAGGACCCGATCACAGCCCTGAGCCCACTGTAACCTATACCACACCCACCCACACCACCTTCACAGCACTCCACACTCAGGCCCCAAAGGGGCCAAGCCTTGCATCCTGTCATATATAGATGGGCACATATTTGCTTTTCATTTTTGCCTCCCTGGAAAAAATTTAATATATTTTTATTGATATTAGAGAGGAAAGGAGAGGGAGAGAGATAGAAACATCTATGATGAGAGAGAATCATTGATTGGCTGCCTCCTGCACGCCCCCTACTGGAGATCTAGCCACAGTGCCGGCATATGCCCTGATCAGGAATCGAACTGTGACCTTCTGGTTCATAGGTCAATGCTCAACCACTGAGCCATGCCGGCTGGACCCTGAAAAATATTTGAAGTTGATTTTTTTTTCTAAGCAGCTACATGAAAATGGTTGCTTGAGTGGCTAATGTCTCGGTGTTTTCATGGCTGAGTTACGGACATTTACCCCCACTTAACTGTCCTTCTCTCCCCCAGGACTACGGTGGGTACCTAAGCACTTACATCCTCCCAGCGAAGGGTGAAAACCAGGGTCAGATGTTCACCTGCGGCTCTGCTCTTTCTCCAATAACGGACTTCAAGCTCTACGGTAATGCTCTTGCTGCCCACACCACAAACCCCTCCCGTGACCCCACCACCTTCCCTTCAGCTCCCCACCCCGCCAGCCCCCCGCCTCAGGCACCCGCCGTGGGTCATAAGCTACACGGGTTGTAGGGCTCATGGCAAAGCTCAGAGACAGGGAGGCTCACACCCCTTGTCCTGGTGCCGTAAACCACGCGACCAGCCCTGGCTCTCACCCTGGCAGCAGTGGGAGCAGGAAACCCGGGCGAGCCAGCGAGAGGGGGTGCTGAGACCCTCACACTGCTCTGCCTCTGCTCCCAGCCTCGGGTGGGGCCCCACGTGGGCTCTGTGTCCCAGGGGATCTGGTGGGCAGACGGGCGGTGCAGGAGGCTGCAGGTATAAGCGGTGCAGCCCTGAGGGCTCAGCTCCGCTCTGCCCTCTGCCCGCCTTCCTCCGGGCAGTGTGGGCGCCGAGCCAGCGCCTGTCCCTGCAGAGAGTGGCTTTGTCGCTGGCAGGAGCCAGAGACAGGGATGGGTGTCAGGATAACTTGCTGCGGGGACCAGACAGAGAGCAGACCTCCCAGGTGTGGGAGCCAGACGGCTGCCCCGTGCCAGTTTGGGGGGTTGAGGCTCCCCCCTTTGCTCCCCTCGGGCCAGCCAGCCCTTCCCTTAGAATGTGAACAGCTTTGTGGCATTAACCCCCTTTCTAAAGCGCCCACGCTGCACGCTCCCCGTGCCCTCACCCACACCTGGGGCCCACAGAGGCCCAGCACCTCGGTGCATCCAGCAGCCAAAGGCTCAGCGCTGACCTTTACCGAGTTCTCGTGCAAATGCCCACTTGCAATCACCCAAGACCTCACAATTCGAATGTGAATCTTTATGTTGGTTTCCCCCGGGAATACATGGAGCATATTTTAACGTCTCAAACTAAGGGAGGCTTCTTCAGATTTGTGATCACGCCGTTTCAAATGTCCTGATCCAACCCACAAGTGCAGCCTCTGCACCTGGCTCGTCCCCGTGCCCGCAGCGGGGTGTGGTCTCTGCTGCTGACCAAGGGCGTCCCCGAAACCTGTGGATGCTCTTCGGAGCACTTGGCTGATGGAGCCTGGGCCGGGCCAGGGTTCGGGACAGAGCAGACAGGCCGAGACCAGGCGCGAGTGCACCCGATGGGAATGGCGCTGTCTTGTCCTGTCCGGGGCTGGACTGGGCTTAGGAGTCAGACTCACTAGGCACCACATCATTAAGCTTCTGCCTTCCCGCCTGACACCACCCCAGCACCAGCACGCTTAAACGTCGCTACGGTACCATCTGATTTCCGTATAAAGGTCCAAGGGGTCCACATATAATACTTTCAACAATAAAGATTTAAAAAGTAAAATAAAAGCTCCAGAAATATAAAAAATAAATAAAAAAAGAGCCAAGAGGTCGAGTTTGGTTTTTGTAAGACAAACATTTGCCAGGAAGAGGAGGTGAGCGTGCCCCACCAGGGCCCCAAGTCCGGGCTCCGGGCAGGGGGTGACCCTCTCTCCCTCTGCTCGTACCTACCAGCGTCGGCATTTTCTGAGCGGTACTTGGGCCTCTACGGACTCGACAACAGAGCGTATGAGGTAGGTTCCGCACAGCTGCGGCTTGGCCACACGGGGAAGTTGATGAATTCCTCACCTCTTCTCTGTCCTGTCTCCCTCCCCTCCCAACCCAAACCCACACTCCCTCCAGCCTCCTGTCCTCTCCTCCCATCGGGAAGACCGCCCCCCGCCCCGTACACTCTGTGAAAGGAGGTGACCCCCTCGGGTGGGTGCATTTCTGACTCTGGAACTTAGGGGCCAGGAAGAAAGTGGGAGAGTCTTTGATGGAGGATCTGTCCATGGTCCTTAGGTGTTGGGTGCACATGCCTGGCTCCCTGCACCCAAAGCTGGTGCCAGGGACAGGGAACTCCTGCCGCCACAGCCACTCAGGGACGGTGGGGACGGCACACGGCCCTCCTACACCAGGCGCAGCGAGAGGCCAGGCTCGGGCTGCAGGGCAGGACGGGGCCCTGAGGTTGAACGTTTAGCAAGGACAAGAGAGCTGAGCTCCTGGTGGCCCCAATGTCACCTCCCCTGAGCCAGCGCTCCTCCACTCCTGTCTCCATCCCTGTCTCCACCCGAGGGGAGTGGCCAGCGCTCCTCCATCTCTGTCTCCATTCCTGTCTGTCTCCATCTGAGGGGTGCACGGGAGGGAAGGGGGGCTCCCTGAGGTGCTGTGTTTTCACCGTGGACAGAAAGCCCCATCCTGGACCCTGCTTCCTAGCCTGGCCCTTAATCCTCGGGGTCTCCCCCACATACACACACCCCACGCTGGCCACTAACTGTCCCCTCGCCCTGCGTGCAGATGACCAAGGTGGCCCACCGGGTGTCGGCGCTGGAAGGGCAGCAGTTTCTGATCATCCACGCGACGGCCGATGGTGAGCACAGAGGAGTCCCTCCCTGTGGATGGTGAGAGCAACACCCCTGCTGGTGTGACGGGTTTAGACAAACCCTTTCCTCTTTTCTTTTCCCACAGAAAAAATCCACTTCCAGCACACAGCAGAGCTCATCACACAGCTGATCAAGGCGAAGGCCAACTACAGCCTGCAGGTAGGCTGCGCTTGGGGGACCGCCCTTCCGCCGAGAAGGGACCGCCAGTGACCGACAGTGTGGATGGAGTGCGGCCTTGCACTGCCGAGACCTGTGCAAGGCTGTCGGCGTGGGCAGGAGTGTCCCACAGACAAAGCTGCGTGGGTTTCCTTTCCTAGTAATTATGATAGTTCTGTCCTGCATTCGGGCTGTGCTTAAACCCTTTCAGACCTCCCCTCCCCCCCACCTCCACCCTGTGCGATGAGCAGGGCCGAGCAGCAGCCACACCCAACAGTGAGGGCGCCGTGTCCCTGGCGTGTGGGACGGGGGCTGCCATCACCGCGTAGATGAGAGCAGCGTGGATGGGTCCTGAGCTTCTCCCGCCCTCCACCCTCTAGGCAGCACGTACTCACCAAACACCAGCCGGGGCTCCGGGATGGCCTGTGTCCAGGCCGTCATTAAAGACCCCACCCTCCTGAGAACCCACCCAGCCTCCTCCTGGCGTCAGCCCAACGCGCAGCCCAGCTTTTTTGAGAGCAAGGCCACTGCTGCTCGGGACACTTCCTCCACCTCCTGCCTGGCCACGGGGCCTTTGGAAAAACAGGCATGACCCCGGCGTCCCTTGGGGTCCACTAATTGGTGGGAGACATCCTTAAAACCTGTCCCTCAGAGAGCACCTGGCACTGACCTTCGCCTGCCTGGGTCTCCAGCCCCTGGCCTCCCACATCGCTGGCCTGTGAGGGGCACCTGGCTGGGTTCAGGGAGCGCTTCCTGCTCAGGTGTCTGGCTCAGGTGTGATGACTGGGGAGGAAGGCCGTGGTCAGTGCACCTGTGTGCTTCCTTCTGCAGTTATCGCAACAGGCTTTACCCACGGGATGCGGCATGGCCGATGGCAGGCCGGTCTCAGGGGCTAAGGTGGGCACGCCCCAGGCAGAGGCTGCCACATTAGCAGGGGCTGAGCAGGACTCCTCCAGACCCCACTCAGGTCGAGGAGAGGGAACCCACAAGCAATGGCAACCTGCAGGCACAACAAGCGCGGTAGCAGGTGCTCAGTGAATCTGTAACAGTGAGGACT